GTGGCGAAGTGGGAGCACTGAGTGCTGTTTACACAACACATTCAGTGGCACACTTTTTCGGGCAGACCCCCCAACTTGCCATTATTCCATTCTAGCCATGTCAATCGATGTTAATTTATTGTCAATGCGCATTTCTCTCCCTCTTTCTCTCTCTCTCTATATATCTCGTTCTCCCTCTATGCGACACGAATACCGATGCAGGGGCTTACCCGTTTGCCAGAGTGTGCTATGCAAAAAGGCTTTTCCTCTCGGCCATCCACAAAAACACGTGCGCCATGTGCACGTTATTAATCAACAAGGACCTACGACAAGCTCGTTTTCCTCCCTCTCACTCAGGCTTTGTCCTTTTTGGAAAACGCAACGAGATTGTTCAATGTGTGAGTGAGTGTACGTTAGCACACAGAGAGTAAAATTGGATTGGAATTTAAGAAAAACATATTTCAAATATATAAATGTAGGCTAACATTTAACTAGGCTCCTAACATCATTTCTTCTCACGCTCAGATAATAATGGGTTATAAATAAATAAATTTATTAGCCGCTCTTTTGAAGGACATCTCATCCTTTAGCTGTAAGTCAAAGAACATTTGTTGTACTTTTAAAACTCCTTCAGGATTACAAAAATAGAAAAATTACAGAAACCGAAAAAAAATAAATTCTAAAATTACGTGATGCTTTTGAAAATTTGAAGCTCAAGGTATTTAAATAATTTGGTGTCTCTTTAATATTCAAAAGAACTATTTAGCTTTCTATTCAACTGACTTCTTAATAACTTAAACTTTAGAACTTTTGTTTTCCGTGTAGATGTGTGTGCTCAGTGGGGCTTAGCTGTTGGCTGCGTGCATTGCATGTAGCTTATTACGTACGAACAAACACAAATGCATGGCGACCAAAAGCATCACATATGCATGCATATGTTTGCCTATGTATGCCTCCTAAAAGTGCACAACAAAAGTTCATTATCTTGTTGACACGTCCCACAAAAATTGGCTTAAACAGGCGCTTAGCCTGAATAGCTTTAAATATTAAAGATGCCCACAAATCATCGTCGAGTGATGGGAATCATTAATCACATGCAGCGTTGATTAACTCGGAGCCAAGTTGAATGACATATTATAACTCAGTCTGAATAATCTGCGAATCTATCATAATTCAGGGAGAGCAGAAACAAACCATTAATAACACAATAATGAATCCCCAAAGAGAGATGACTCAACAGCGGAAAAAGGAAACCAAGCGAATCCATCAAGCCACTGGCCTAATCACTTTAAAGATCCAACTGTGGTAGTTGGCCCAAAAGATCAGCAGAGCGCATAATAAATCGCATTTAGTTTTCCTTTTTCTTTTTTTTTTTTTTTGAGTTACCAAAGAGAAGAGATAGAATTAGGAGCATTGAAAAAAAAAACAGGCAGCACATGGGGGACGTTTTTACGTTTGTCAGTTGCATAAAACATAAAAATGCCAACACATTCGGACGGACATGAGCCACGATGGCAGCACATGCCAAGAGCAGGCAGGCAGCCGGCTTCAGGACCACCGCAGCGGAAATGGTGCAAAAAGCGGAACAGGAATGGCTGGCGGAGAGTGGGGCTTGGGGGAAATTAGAAAAGCCAGAGTGCGAAGTCTCCTCCAAAGCCTCGAAAAAAAAGTCACAAAGAATGGATAGCTTTGGGCTCCGAACCATAAAATACCCTTGCAATCAGATTATTCATGTATAAGCTGTATAAGGCACCATATGTAATTCATTCTGACCTTTTTAACCACACAACACAATTAAATTAAAATAAATAGAAAAGTACATTTAGGTCTTAAGCAAGGATATTTAGTTTTTAGCCTACTAGTATTTTATTTATTAGTTAGCCGAAATCATTTTACTTTCAATACTTCACTATATACAATTTATTTTTAGCAACTGATTAACATTATTTTTAAAATTATAAAAAAGATATAACTTGTTTGTTTAATATAGTTTATTATTGTTGGATTAAGTAGTTGGCGTAAGTTTCATTAACTGAAGTGAATTGCCTTCAATTATTCTACCTTAGCAACAAGTTTAGAAGGAAATACAAATAACAAGGTTTGACGCAAGATAGAATTCGTTTCGAAGGATTTTATTTAAATATTTTTGGACAAAGCCGCCCAAAATCCCAGCTTAATGTCCAGCACGCTTTTGGGATCCCTTCGTTGCCAGGCAACATTAATGCCCAAGTCAATAGCTTTCGAGCGTTTGTTGATCTAGTCACAGTTACTCGTTAAAGTATGCAACGTGCCCCGCATGTACGAGCTCGCTGATTGAATTCCGCGAAAAAGTTTCTCTCAATTTTCTATTTATGTTGGTCCTTCGCCCCTTTTTCGCCGTCAAAAGAGCACAAAATGTTTAATTAAATTCACGCGGCAATAGGAAAGAAATCGGAAACCAAAACGAGTCAAGGAAAATAAACGAAAAAGCCAAAGAATTTAATTAAACTTTTTCTATTTTTACTCGCTGGAGCTCCCTATTTTTTTTTTTTTTGCCGCAATGTCAGTTACGCATTTTAATTAGTTTTTTTTTTTTTGCTCTCAAGTGTGAGTGAGCGGAAATTTTCGCATGTGTGTGCTGAAAGGGAATCAAAAGTGTGAGCCAGCAATTGACGCGTCCTGGGCGGAACAGGCGCAGAGCTGTCAAAAAACTTTCAAACAAATGTCGCTCACATGCCAAATGCACACACACACACTAGTCGCACAAAAAAGGTGTTAGACATTAACATTTCATGCTCATAAACAAATGAGTTTTTTGATTACATAACCAGCATCTGGCCCCCAACTTTTGCACACATGGTTTTAAATTCGTTGAATCCTCAAAAACAAATAAAGGCTATTTAAATGCATCGTTTTTAAATGCTGGCATTTCAATGTAGATTTGTGGTTAAGGTAGGATTAAAAAATAAAATATTTAAAATCATCATTTGCTTTATAAGTTTCCATTGACGGCTTAAAATGAAAGCCCTAAAAAGCTAAATAAGCTACCGCGATTTTCAGTCCATAAATAATAAATTTATTACCCCTACGTTTTAATAAATTCACTTTTAGCTGAAAGCATTTTTTAACATTTTTTGCAAAGATAAGCTATAAAATTGCATTTCTATAAAATTTAACTATTTCAAAAAAAATGTATGGTTTTCAAATGTATATGTGCATTGAATATATATATTGGTAGTAACATTGCACATTTTGTAGACTATTACTTATTTAATGACTGCATCACAATGAAATATATATTGTGCTAATAAACTCAGTTATAAAACCTAGTTTTTAGGTATAAGCTCTATTCAGTCCCAAAATCAGTACAAATTTCAAGTACCACACATAAAAACCAATTGATTTGATTTTTATACCCTTGCAGAGGGTATTATAAATTCAGTCAAAAGTTTGCAACGCAGTGAAGGAGACATTTCCGACCCTATAAAGTATATATATTCTTGATCAGCATCACCAGGAGAGTCGATCTAGCCATGTCCGTCTGTCCGTCTGTCCGTCCGTCTGTCCGTCCGTTTCTACGCAAACTAGCCCCTCAGTTTTAAAGCTATCTGCTTGAAACTTTCCCAAAAGTTGTCTTTCTATTGCAGGTAGTATATAAGTCGGAACGAGCCGGATCGGGCCACTATATCATATAGCTGCCATATAACTGAACGATCGGAAATGCCATATCTTTGGTGTTTTTAAAGTTAGGAAGTTGGGATTTTCTATGGATTTTATTTTTGGCTAATAAATCCGACCTCCCATAAGGATCGGACGACTATATCCTATAGCTGCCATATAACTGATTGATCGGAAATGCCATAACATTGGTGTTTGTAAAGTTAGGAAGTTGGGACTTTTTTAAGTATTAAGAATGCATCATATGAATAATTTTGGAGAATATAATTTATAGAATATTCTGCAAGGGTATATCAACTTCGGCTCCGCCCGAAGTTAGCTTTCCTTTCTTCTTATTTTTGAAAACTTTTTTTGAAAAAACAACGCAGCAGAAGCAGAATTACTCTTGATACCCGTTGAGCTGAAAACTAAATATATGCACAAAAATACACAAAAACAAGAAAGGAAAGCTAACTTCGGGCGGAGCCGAAGTTGAAATACCCTTGCAGAATATTCTGCAAATTATATTCTCCAAAATCATTCATAATGCATTCTTAATACTCATAAAAATCCCAATTTCCTAACTTTAAAAACACTAAAGTTATGGCATTTCCAATCGTTCAGTTATATGGCAGTTATAGAATATAGTCGGCCGATCCTTATGAAATTTGATATGTCGGATTGATTAGGCAAAAATAAAACCCATAGAAAATCCCAACTTCCTAACTTAACAAACACCAAAGTTATGGCATTTCCGATCAATCAGTTATATGGCAGCTATAAGATATAGTCGGCCGATCCTTATGAAATTTGGTACGTCGGATTGATTGGCCAAATATAAAACCCATAGAAAGTCCCAACTTCCTAACCTAACAAACAGCAGAGTTATGGCATTTCCGATCAATCAGTTATATGGCAGCTATAGGATATAGTCGGCCGATCCCGGCCGTTCCGACTTATATACTGCGTGCAAAGGAAAGAAGGGTGTGTGCAAAGTTTCAATTCGATATCTTTAAAACTGAGAGACTAGTTCGCGTAGAAACAGACAGACGGACAGACAGACGGACAGACGGACAGACGGACATGGCTATATCAACTCAGGAGGTGATCCTGATCAAGAATATATATACTTTATAGGGTCGGAGATGTCTCCTTCACTGCGTTGCACACTTTTGACCAAAATTATAATACCCTCTGCAAGGGTATAAAAAAGATATTTACGTAAACTGTAGATAGAGAAATAGTGCAAACTCTTCTGTTATGCAAATGGCCAAAAGGAACCAGCTACCTCCACTTCCCCGATCAGCTTACAAAATTAACATGCCAAACTTTTGGGGCATGACGAAAATTTAATTAACTAATTTATATGTGGTTGAAAAACTTACCCCGCCACGTCCGCCTGAGCCCTCTTCATCGATATAGATTTCATCCCGGGATGGCGATGGCGCTGCCGCCAATGGTTTCACGGATTTCTGAAAATAAAGAAGATTTTCAAATAAAATGAGAATATTTCAAACAATATTATAAAACGGGTGCGTTTGGGGAGAGCGAAAACTTTTTTAATTTTCGCCAGGACATCATCAAGTTTTTTTTGACTTTCGTTGAAATGGAAATATTTTCATTTCATTAATTAGAGAAGAGGACACCGCGAAAGTTTTGGAAAGTTGGAGTCACAGGCACCAAAGTTATGAGTGGCGGAATTCGCAATCAAAAAGGAGAGGCTGAAATACATTTATATTGCCATCAGTGATTCGCATGACCGCAAAAATTTGCAAGCCTTCCCCGGCTTTCACCGCATGAAACAATTAATTAAGAACAATGCTTAAAATGTGTATTTCGGTCCGCGTTAAATGCATTTTTAATGATGCACTGGAAAATCAATGAGAAATGCAAATTGTGTGTGGCGAGCAGCCCCATGTTGCCCTGCCTTGAAGCAGCAACTCGCCGAGATTCTGAGGCTTTTTCGGCCCAGTCGGACATTGCATAATTAATGGATCCCCCTCCACATCCACTTGCCCATCCAGTTCTAGGAGTTGTCCGCATTTTACGGCCAAGCATAAAAAGCAGAGGCCCTGGGAATGGGCAACTGAGTGGGAGGTCGCCTGACCATGTCCCGTGTTGCCTCATTAAGCCAGGGGAAATCGGGCGACTCTCCTCCTTTTTATGCTTCCCTTAAATGCGAATTGATGAAGACTTTACGAGCAACTGAAAAACTCCAATTGAGGTTCTCCTGTTCCATGGATTTCAGTTCATTACGGAAGTGTATACACACATAAATAAATACTTATTTTCTATAAAGTTGCATTTATTTTATTAGGCAATTAATGGTGAAAGGCCTACATTTTTAATTTGTTTAAACTTTTTTTTTCTTTTTCTTTTATTTAAATTTAAAAATATAACGTTATAATTTCTCAATTTTTTATTTGAATTCTAAAAGTGCATGTTTTACGATTATTGCCATGTTTATATGACCATTGTAATAGCTCCAAAGTAGGTTTAGTAACCTATATTTTTCAATGTTTTTTCTGAGAGCTCTGTAGAATTCCGTGCCAAGTCTCAGATCTATATAATTCTTAAGCTTTTCCTCATTTATTTTTCAGCTCCTCGCGACAAAAGCTTTCCCCTCCATAAGCTAAGCGAGTCAAAAAGTTTGGCATAACATTTTCATTTTGCTGCACTTTTTCGCAAGCCAAACTGCGAAACGAATTAAGTTATCTTTGTTCAGGCGTTGCTGTTTTTTGCAGATTAGTAGAAAACCCTGAATGCGCCAACTTGGCGAGTCAAAGTTGTCAAGGGGAGTTCAGTTCACAGCCAGTTTTAGAAGCTGCTGGCATTAAGTTAAGTTTTTGGCGGGCTGTCAAGCCAGCCTGAGGTTGTCATTCATTCAGGGCGGAGTTGAGCTGTGGCTGCGACTGCTCTTCTCTAAACAATTTAGCTGGCAAGTTTCCTCAGCCATAGGTGTGAATAACCGCTGGAGATAAACGCAAAAGTTTTCATGAAGGCAGCAGGGAAATAAGAAATATGAGGCAACAGTTTCTCATTCAGGCTTTCCGCCCTATGGCTTATTTATATGAAAAGTCTGGGGGGCTTTTGGCTTTGAGTTTTCAATGGATAGAATAAACTCCTTCACTTTTCGACAGAAGCTTGCCTTTACTATTGATAGATTTCCTTGTTTTCTACTCTGCTTTCCGCTTTTCTCCTTGTTTTCCTTCCACACTGTTTTCATAATTGAAAAATGCCTTTTTTGGCAGACAACAAAAGTTTTCGTGCTTCTCGGACATGAAACGATTTTCCGGCTGGAAAACGTGCAAAATATTCTATAGGGAAATGTTTTGCCAGTTTTAGTTTTTACATAATTTTATCTCTGTGCTATTTTTTGGGGCAACGTTTTTGTATTTTTGCCAGCCATGCTTGGCATGTTTCATATTTTAAAATGGCAACAATTTGCCAAAAACGTTAAATTGAATTGCAGTAGGAAAAAATACTCTCATCTCTTTATTTTTGTGACAAATTGTGGCATTCAAAATAGTTGTGCGCCTTTTCGGGATGATGACAAAAACAGGCCAAACGATGACCATAAATCAATATATATACATATATGCCTGAACGCGCGTTGTTATCGGGAGTATAAAAAAAAGAAACCATTTTGTTTTTATGACAAAGAAAATATATATATTCCTTTGGGTTTTCAGCTGTCAATATTTATGGTTTGCAAATATTTTCACTGCTGGAAAATCTATAAAATGCGCACATAAATATTTTAATGTTATTGAATTGTGGAATTTGCCTGGCACTTAATGCCCTTTTGTCCGCTCCGACAGATTCAAACAACTATTCACAGTCGGATGATCCGCAGGAAAAAAAAAAAGCCATTCATTTCAAATCGGTCAAACGAAGGGAATATTTAATGCGGAAGAGCGGAAAGATAAAAAGCGATAAAGAGAGGATCAACCAGTGATTCAATTGTGGCAGGCTCATTTAATGTGTCAATTGCATTACGCTAAAACTCTTTGCTCCAACAGTTGCAATCGCAAAAAGTCGGATGGAATGGCAGTTAATGCGAGGAATGAAAAGGAGTTGAGCTGACAGCCAATGACAGAAGCTAAAGTGCGCAACGAAGCGTCAAGAGAAACGGAGCTGACAGCCCCAGAGTTTCACACAGCTTTATCTGGGAGGTCGGCCCCAAAAAGTAGGCAATACAATTCGATCAATGCCAGAACAAGTATACGCAGCGTGGTACCCGCACAGAAAATCAGCAAAGGGCAGGTCAGCAACAAAAACGGGAGCCCACACGAAACATATTCAAGTTGTCTGCACTGTCATTATGTTGATGACAAGGCAGCTATTTCTTGCTCCTGTTCGGTTTCTTGCTGAGTCCACCATCCTTTTCAGTTCCATCTGCTCCTGCCAGCATGCGTATTTTTGGTTAGCACCCCAAAAACCAAAGCTAAAACCAACCAATGCCCAACCAATGCCAAACGAATGTCAGTCAAGACATTTACCCATTTCCTTTTGATACCCTGGCATGAAAATGTGTTACAAAGTTGTTATATTCATTGGATTGGAAAAACTATCCATATAAAAATTAAGGTGTTTAAATGCTGAGCTATTTTATATATCCCCCAAATGATTTATTAAGGTGATTTTGGAGTCAAGAGGATTGAAGAAATCATTAATTCTTTTAAGGTTAAGGTTGAATTAATTCACCAATTTTTGTAGTTTTTACACTAGGACTTACAAATAGAAATTTCCTATTAACTACTTTATAAATGTATATTTAGACAAATAATAAAAGGGTATTTAATGTGTTGCTATCCCCACTAATTTGTTGTTGTTTTCGTGTCTGTTGGCCCCGAAACTGAATGATAAATAAACCAAATGCGCTGAGGCTTAGGTGAATTGAACATTTTCATTTCGTTTTCCGGCATTTTCTCTCGTCCTCTCTGTGCGTGCCCTTTGTCCATTGAGGTGTCAAGAAGGTAAATATGAAAGCCCCCGTCCAAAAGAGCGAATAAAAGCAAATCAAAACTTATTATGCCAGACACACACATATCCACGTGGTGAGGCTTTGAGATTGTATTTTATTGCCGGGCGTGTGTGTGTATCTTTGGGGAGAACTTTTATGTTTATAGTAGTCGTAAAAAAAAGGAAACTTGACTTTTCGCATTTGTTGCTGCCTAAAACCTAATTGAACAGCAAAATTATTGCCCTTCCTTGGGGGCGAATAACAAACATTCAACTGGGCCTGGAATAGCCAAAACAACAATAGCAATTCACTAGCCCTAAAGCCTCTGGCATTAAATTTTCATTTGGCCTGGTCAAATATTTAAATTATGCACCACACGAATTTGTTTCATATGCAAAATAACAAAAAGCTTGAAAATGCAATTAGTCTGACAGCCTGACAGTCGGAGAATTTGTGAATTTTTTTGTGAGGGCAGCAAACGTCCTAGAAACATCAAGAACGCACTCAAATGTAAATAGGACCAAAAGGTATACAGAGAAAAAAAGCCTTCATTAGTCAATAGAATACTTTCTCTTGATTTTGTATTCTTGAAGAACGTCTAATAAAGATATTAACCCTAATTTAAAAGCTTTTATAACGTACCAACCACAAACTATTGGCAAAACAAACAAATGATAAGATTAAGGTATACATATAAAAACAAAACTTTACAACGCTCTATTGTTTTAAAATCACTTTAAAATCAAAACCTAAAATCGTAATATGTGGATATTTATGTTTCGTTAAAAACTTATCGAGATTTTAAAATACATTCTTTCTCAAATGAGTACTGCTTTATTTTACTAACTAACTCTTCTTTGTTAATATATCTGTTTGATGACAATCATTTTTTTCTCTGTTTGCGTGTGTGTAGTTGAATTTGCCGAGTGACTTGACATAAAGCCAATGGCGGAAATTGCAAACCCCCACTCACACACTGACACGATTCTACTTCTGGTTCTGAGGCTGAATCCTGAACTGAATGCTGTCAGACATTCATGCAAAATCGTGGCGCTTAAAAGTATGCCACAAGCACAGAAAAGCATTCCGACTGCGAATCGCTATAACACTGACCTACAGAGGCCACACAGGTAAATCCCCCCCGATTTTCTTGCCATTCGAATCGATGGTGTCAGTGCTGCGAGGAAATGAAAGGTTCGCGCGACAGCGGATTTTCGCATTGTTCTTCCAAACAACAACAAGTATACGCACCCTTTGCCTCCCAGGGGATGTCCTTAAAGTAAGCAAAAAAGCAACAGTAACGCAGGGGGTTTAGCACAGCACAATGGTCACTGTGAGAGGGAGACGGCCAGAGACGTAGATTATGAAGGAGCGAGCCAAAGTGCCCGCTCGTGCCAAAGAAAACCAACCGAACACTTCACCAGAAAGTTCCAAACTGACACCAAAACAAGCTGAAAACCTCAAATTAAATGTTGTGATGAGGCTCTCACTCACACATGTGCAGAA